TGTGAGTATCCCCAGCAGCGATTGGAGATGTTTACAATTACTTTCAGACTTTTATTGCAGGTTATCCTAAATCGTGTTGATTAGATAACAGCTATGAATAATTTCATGTTTCAGTGTCAGCGTTTCTCACCAAAGACAAAGGCAATCCGTAGTTGCACATCTCTTCACTGAACGGCCAAATTTCATGGGGTAAATTAATTATGGCGGTGATCATCAAAACAAGCGATGCCAGGAAATCTGCCAGTGCCAGCTGAAGAAGAGGCTTTGCCTGTAACACAAGAACAATGACAGAGAAACATTAAAACATGAAGAACATGCTGCATATCTGCAAACGAAGAGGCCACATTCAGTGAGAAGAAATATTTTATACAAATGTTTTGGAGAACTTTGCAAAGAAGTTATCTAAAGTGTGTGATACTGAAGAAGAGAGCTGTATGCAGTGACATAATCAGATTTAGTTTTCATTCTCAGCCTGTGTCTGAGTGCACTGGCCCACTGTTAGCCAATATTGACCATCACTGTTGACTTTTGCAGCAATAGTGGGGAATGTATGTACTCTAAATGTGCTTCAGCTGGGGAATGTAGATCCATCAAATTCAGCCTCATTGCAGTCGGTTTGTCCACTCAAAAATTCAGATTATCTGCTGGAAATATTCAAGTAGGCATTTTATGTGCCTGTTAAGAGGATGCATTGTTAAAAAAAAAAAGATTTACTGGTAATTTTTTGCCAGGACATTATCAAGTATTTTTATGCACATTTCTGTTAACCCTAAAACACAATGCAATGCAGTGCAAAATTCAAAATACACGCAAAACATCTGTATAAAATTACAGTGTGGTGGCTTGATCAGATTTGTTCCCCAAGATGGAATTTCACTATTGCATACAGATCAGGGTTATTATAGCTAACCAAAACTGAAACCATCAAAAACCACCCTTTTCCTTAAAATAAAATAAACATTAACTAAAATAAATATAAAAAAGTTTATTTCAGCTAGTAGCTTGATGTCCTAAAAAAAACTACAACTAAAAAAATATATATATAATTTTAAAGTTTGAGTTTTTTTCTTCTTCCAATTTGAGTAGTTTATATATTTATATAGAGCATTTCTTTCTCTTCTCTGTCTGTGTGTGTGACTCACCTGTTCATTGAGATGCCTTCTCTTTATGATGGAAACCACAACGACAGAACAACTACCTATCAGACTGCAACAGAAAGAAAAAGTGGTTACAATAATAAACCTAGAACAACAACCACGCATGAGACACAAGTTAAGAATTCTACTTTCTCTGTCCTGGTCTCTTACACTGTGAAAAGTGGTAAGCTGCAAAAGCAATCTTAAGGAATTATTTCTGTCTCATCTAACACTTTACATTTAGTTTTGTCCATGTAAACGAATTATTTAGATGTTACATATAGGTCTTTTGACTTAAATAACATCAATTATTTTTGATGCTACCACATTAACCACATAATTTATTAAAAACATTGCTGTGGTTGGTCACAAATCTGTATAGAGGTACTGTAAACAGACAAGACATACAATATTGCCATAAACAACATACAATGCCACAGAAAACACTTTAATTTGCATGATTAAGAACAAAAATAAAGTAACATCTAAACGTTAATGTGATGGTTTGTGCTGAAAGGACTCACACTTTAACAATATTAAACATAATTGTAACTGTAAATACAAATGGCATAAATACTGACTCATTGTTTCAGTAAATTATAAAGGCAATTCATATTTTTACTTCAAAAAACATGTCTGTTTTATAATAAAACGTACTATATTGTCTTTTAAATTATAATATCACTGTTTTATGATAGGAAAAATGACAATTATCCCATCAAACTGTAATATTGTAGTATGTTTACATTACATTTCTTTTCAAATTTCTAACATTTTACCCCATCAAATGGTAATATTGTAGTATGAACAACTCTCGTTATGTCGATATAATGAGAAAATTAAGTCGTTATAACGAGAAAACAACTCTCGTTATGTCGATATAACGAGAAAATTAAGTCGTTATAACGAGAAAACAACTCTCGTTATGTCGATATAACGAGAAAATTAAGTCGTTATAACGAGAAAACAACTCTCGTTATGTCGATAAAACGAGAAAATTAAGTCGTTATAACGAGAAAACAACTCTCGTTATGTCGATAAAACGAGAAAATTAAGTCGTTATAACGAGAAAACAACTCTCGTTATGTCGATATAACGAGAAAATAAGTCGTTATAACGAGAAAACAAGAAGGAAAAAAAAATAATGCATGGCCGCTTAGAACTTCCGTACACACCCCTAACTCGGACCCAAGTTTAACTCACTACGGTCACTAAAATTAGTATACAATGCCCTCTACTGGTCAAAAACGAATTTGCAACAGTTTGAGAGAATAAATTTTTGTCCAATGCAAATACTGCACGCATTATTAGGCTATTATTGAACTGAGGGAGAAAATAAAACCGAATATATATTTTGGTATTGCCTAGTTTGCTACAAAGTTCAGTCACTTTCGAAGTAATTTAAAAATAGTGGGTGAAAGGGACATAACATTATAAAAATCATAATTTAATTGTCAATAGTTATTTTATTTTATTTTATTTATTTAACTGGGAAAACGCAGAATTAGCTATACAGCTAATTTGCATCTGCAGTCCCTGGGCAGGATGTTGTTACAAAATTACAATATTCAGTCACAAACAATAAAATACATAAAACTCATACAATACCACATCAGCTTGATTGTTGTAAAACGAAAACCAACAATAATAATAAAAAATAATTAATTAATAAAAATACCAATGTAAAATATGTGTTTTTCCATTTGATATAACAACAACAACAATATTAGTGAATTAATGAACGAACGAAAACGTTACATGGATTTCTGTTATGAATTTAGATGTTGTTTTTTGCTTAATAACAAACAAACAACAAAGATAAAAAAAAACAAGATTGTCCAGTACATTCAGATTCGGCGTGGATACATATAGTCATCAGACAATAAAAAGCAAGTGGGAGTTTCAGAAAATATCGGATGGGCGATACCACTTATATTGTTTTCGATACGATACCGATATTTTTCAAGACAGTATCGTCGATATCGATACCGATACGATACTTCTGAACTAAACTTTTAAATGATGAAATGTATTAAATTATTAAATTACTAAGAGTAAAATGGGTAATGATAACCACTTAACTTTGTTTAAAACACATTTTAACATTCGATACGCCTTAATTGTAATTTATTAGGTTATATTTTTGTTTACACGTGGTTCAAATGTGTTTTTTGTTTACACATGATTCAAATCTACAAATACTACAGTTGAACTATGGTCACTTTAGTAAAACCATGGTTCATTATCATAAGGGACTGCCAGTGA